AAGGAAACACTAGTGAATCTTTACTAGTTCATAAGTCTTCAACATTTTTGTTTCTTGTGACCTTCACGTCTTCTCAATTTCACTGTTTCTAAGCTACTGCCTTATATATCATCTTTGCTAAGAAATAAGTTTTAGTTATGAGATATTAATAGCAATGTACCGACTGGGATTTCTTATCCTTTCAGCTCTTAAATATTATGCATTCTTTGGTCTTCTTAAAACTTCCGGTTTCTTGACTCTTCCTTTTCCCCCTGAGTATCAATGTCCCTTCAACTTTATTTCTTGTCCGGTTTAGCTTAGGCTATCTCTCATAATTTCACCAACTCTTCTGGTGTTTTTTGGTATCCTCAGTGATTCTGTACTCCATCATTTTTGCCTTGAATATGTATAATCCTGAGTCATTATGGTCCTTTGGATTTTGTACTGGTATACGAATGTATTGAATGTATTGTCAGATAACTGTATAAGCAAGAACCCATACAAATTTATTGCATCTGTTCCCAACTGAGTTCTAAGATTGCTTGATTTTCTTGCTAGTTTTGTTTTGTCTCTCATTCTCGTTAGTAGCTATTCTGTTATTCCTGTCAAAGCCTCTTTACCTCTCATGTCCATGGACCTCTATTTTATAGTAAAAAATAACACTGTGTCCTCACATTTATTTATATTCATAATCATGTGTGTGTGTGTGTGTGTGTGTGTGTATATATATGTGTGCATGTGCATGTGCGCATGCGCGGGGGGGGGGGTTGTGGGGGCTGGGGCTTGAACTCAGGGTTTGGCCACTGTCCCTGAACATTTTTGTTCAAGGCTAGTGCTACCACTGAAGCCACAGTTCTACTTCTGGCTTAAAAAAAAAAATTGGTGGTTAGAGATAAGAGTCTCAAGGACTTTCCTGCCCAGACTGGTTTTGAACCACAATATGAAAATCCTCAAATTCCAGTCTCCTGAGTAAATAGTTATTCTAGACATGAGCCCTGGTGCCCAGCTCATAATTATTCTCTTCTCCTTCACTCTCTTTTCTTCCTTTCCTTTTCTCTTTCCTTCCTTCCTTCTTTCTTTGTTTCTTTCTTCCTTCCTTCCTTCCTTCCCTCCTTCCCTCCCTCACTCCCTTCCTCCCTCCTTTCCTCCCTCTCTCCCTTCTCTCTCTCTCTCTCTTTCTCTCTCTCTCTCTCCCTTTCCCTCTCTCTCTCCTCTTCCTTTCTTTTTTCACAGTTTTAAAGAGTTCATTTACTAAAGAGAAAGTAAAGTCCAGTTAGGAGAGTGAGCAGCAGAAACTAGAAACCAGTTGGCCACCATGTGATCAGAGACAGACTCCCCACTATTTTCCATTTGTTTTCTATGACCATAACTATCCATTCTTTTTGCTCAATGTGAATCCTTGTAGATATTACTATTGTCTTAAAGGCATAAAATGAGAAAAAATTTTCTTTTAAAAAATAATACCAATGAGGAAAAACTATTTATGAAGTATATCTTTGAATCTGTTTAGAAGAAAGCAGATAATTCTTACATTCACATAGAGGGGAAAAAGACCTTTGAAAGTGAATACTTTGGCTGGGGATATAGCTGAGTAGTAAAGCTCTTGCCGAGCATACATAGCAAGGCCTTGGGTTTGACCCTAGCGAAACAAAACCAAATATTTTAGCTTTTTAATTTAAAAAATCATTTGTTTATCTTCTGCAACTCAGCAAAGAGAACTGCCCTTAAGAGTTTGTTTTTTAAGAAGCAATGTCAGTTCCTGCAAAATTATCATAAACCTCTTCTTATTCTTGGGTTCTGCCACTTTATCAAGAGAGCAGCTCCTGTCCTAGCTCATAGGATGAGTAAGAGATTTCCTAATAGCCCTTATTATCAATGCAGTGATGCTAACTTTCACATTCTAATAGCTATAGTCAGGGCACAAATCTCACAGATTGCATAAGTCTTAATAAAGGGTTAAAATGCACACTTTTATTGAAGAGATGCTACTTTAATATAATGATCTGAAATATCAGGTCTCAAACTTGCCAACACATGGGAATTTCCAGAGCTTAAACACACACTAATACTTGGAATTAACCTGGGTTGGGTTAGGTAGGCATCAGGAATTCTAGAGTCTTCCCAGGTGATTCTATAACTAGTTGTAAAAAAAAATTAAAAAAAGACTGTATCACTCTATAAAACACTGTAATATTCATTCTAAAAACAAAAGGTGAAACAGTAAGATGTACTTATTCACTGCAAAGGTTTGCTTACCTGAACACTCATCTATAGACTCTGATTGTAATTGTCAAGAAAGCAAATGATTTCCAATCAGGGACAAGTCAAACATACTTAGTATTTCATAATCATGATCATGTTCTAAAGCTACTGAAGTATCAGAGGTATCTCAAAGAAGTATCACAAACTGAATAAAGAGCAGAAATATAATGTCACACTTAAAGAGAGACCCATGAAGAGATGCTTAACCTCTCTAGCCATAAAAGAAATGCAAATCAAAACAACATTGAGATTCTACCTCACCCCAGTTAGAATGGCTATAATCAAGAAATCTAATAACAACGGATGCTGGAGGGAATGTGGCCAAAAGGGAACCCTACTGCATTGTTGGTAGAAATGTAAACTAGTTCTACCACTTTGGAAAGCAGTACCGAGGTTCCTCAAAAGACTCCATATAGAGCTCCCCTATGACCCAGCAATTCCACTTTTGGACATTTACCCAAACGATCACAAACAATGCCATACTAAAACTACCCGCACAACTATGTTTATCACAGCATTATTCACCATAGTTACTATATGGAACCAACCTAGATGCCCTTCAGTAGATGAATGGGTCAAGAAAATGTGAATTCTATGCCTCCATCAGAAAGACTGACACCGCCCCCATTTGTTAGGAATGGAAAGACTTTCAAAAAATTATATTAAGTGAAGTAAGCCAGGCCCAAAGAAACATAGGTCCCATGGTTTCCTTTATTTGCAATAACTAGTATATATTTGGGACAAGCAGAAAAGGTCAAAAGCTATGTACATATGACCATATAAGATGTTGCTAAGCAAAATAAACCCAAAGATAGGGACACGAGAAATTTTCTTTGGTGCTCTGTAATGTACTATGTTTTTTTGTTTGTTTGTTTTTATATGTTCCGGTTGTCACTGTATTTGATTCTAGTGCCCTGCATCTTATATATACATTTTTCTAATTTGGGGAGGGGAAGGGAAATAACAAAATGCTGAAACAAGAATACAGGTTGATCCATTGTACCAATGAGACAAGACCACTATGATGAAAACGAACTTTACAATGTGGGGGTGGGGAGGGAGGAGTTGAGGAGGGAAGGGATAGTAGGGGAGAAACAAAGGAGGGGGGTAACAATGCTCAATTACCTTACTCATGTAATTATAACTCCTCTGTACTGTATCTTTACAATAAAATTTTTTTTAAAAATATCATGTCACAGAGTTCTGGATAGGAGAAGTTTGCAATCAGGTGTCAGATGGACTGTACCCTCCATGATGGCTGTAAGCAAGAAGCCTTCCTCATCTCTCCTAATCTTTACAGTTTGCTGGGAATCTTCCGCCTTCTCTTCTCCAGTGTCTTAGTATTGTCTTCACTTGGTACAAGTCTGTGTTCAGATTTCCCCTTTTTATACCACCACCAATCTTACTGAATTCGAACACAGGCTATTGCCTTTATTTTAACTTCATTAGCTTTCAAAACCACCCTATTTCAAGGTATGTAATAGGGTGAAGTGAGTAAGAATTAACAGTTCAGTATCTTATTGGTAGGGAGAGATTGCGGTGGGGAGACAATTCAAGCTATAAAACAACCATCTGCTGTAGACAATGATGTGAATCAATGGTTCTTACCCTAGGAGTGGGAAAAACTTAAATTTTATTTTCACTTCACTGTGAAGGACAATGTTCCCTACAATTATGAATATAGGCCACAGTCAATTAGCAGTATTTGTGCTTCTTGAGTCTATACAAACAGAAATAAATTACTGGTATTTTCAAGGCACACTTTAGCATTTGTAGGTCTCACAATACCATTCACAGACATTTACACTTAAACTTTGAAATTATAGTTAACAGATCTGCTGCTAAATCTAGCTATTTAATGCATGAATGACGACTCACATATATAGTAATATATGACATAATACTTTCATGGTTGCATTTTACTAGAATTGATATTGATTTATTTGTATTTTATGTATTTAATAATGCATTTATCATATTTTAGTATTTTTTCAGTGCTGGGATTCAAGCTAGGGCTTTGCATATGGTCAGCAAGTGCTCTACCACTGAACTATATCCTCAGTAACATTATTCTAAGAAATCTATATGTGTATATATATATATATATATATATATGCAAACATATATTTTGATAAACTACAGCCTCAGTGAATCCTCAAGTTTCATACTCAAAGCTTTAAACTCAGTAATCAAAAAATATATACAGGGCATTGTACAAACTTTTAAAACTATGATTCAATGTGAGAATATACATAGTTTATATTTAACCCAATATACAATCCTACCTGGCTCTCATACACAAAACTTACAACTGAAACAAAAGTAAAAAATAATATTTATCCTTTATAGAGGAGAAGCACTCTGACATTTTCTTTCATTTAAAAGATGCCAGGTTTGTCCTACTGAATTAATTTCAAAACCACTTCTAGAACATGTCAGTGAAAAGCCTTTAGTGACATTTCTTTAGAAATTTCTCATAGCATATTACAATGGGTAAAAAGTTGTCATTACTGATATTTAGACAACTAATAAGGACATTTTACAATTTTGGCAGGAATGTAAATTTATGTTTTAACAAATATAAGGAGTGCAAGAGTAAAATAATGAATATTTTGTGCATAAGTCATTTAAAACTTATAAAATACTTTAAGTGAATGTTTAATTTTACTGAGGTAGATCTTCATTCAGTATTATAAAATCATTAGAAATATTTCCCAATGTACAATATTTACTTAAACCAAAGCTAAAAAGAATTTTACCTGTAGTAAACTCGTAGTGTCTGGATTTCCTCTTCTAGTTTTTTGTATTGCTCAACTGCAGTTTCTTTGGCTTGCTGCATTGATGACAACTTTGCCTGCACATAATTAACATTTAAAAAATTAATATAAGTTTTGGTGTGTTAAAATATAGTAGTACAATATAGATAGAAGTCTTATATATCTATGAATGTAAAAAGTTAGCCATATTTTTATAACTGTCTCAGTTGCCTGCAAAATAATCCAATTATATGAATAATAGGAATAGTAAAGGGATGAATACATTAAATTTGCAGACCTTGTGCATTAGTAAACTTTAACCTAGTTCTATCTGTATTATCAGATATATATTCCCTTCTACAATGTTTAACTTTATACATAGAATTCAGAATGTGGAACATGGGTTCAGGGCAATATCTAGAGTAGAGATAAGCACAATGGGTGTTTCACATTTGAATTTAATGTTGCTCCACTCACTGCCTCTTATACTAGATTTCCTTTTAACTTTATTAATAGTAAAACTCAGAAAATTTTAAATATGCTGTCTAGCCATCTTTGATATTTAAAGTGAAAAGACACACAAAACTGCAACCTGATTCTTATAGATACGATTTAACCTTTCAATTCTTTTTCTGCAGAGAGAAAAAAATTCCCTGAAAGGAGAATGGCAGTAACTTTGAAGGTTAGAAATATTTTATTCAAGGTGTGTTATTCTTCTTTCTGGAGTAAAATATTCCAGTTTTAAAGGATAGGTAATAGCTTTGGCAAATATTTTAAAGTTATTTTTAACAGACAAAAGAATAAAAAGATGTCTCTTTGCTAGAGCACCCACACTCTGTTACAGTGTCTCTGTTTTTCTGCATTTTGTCTGCTTGCCTGCTTAACTACTCACTCAATAGAGCTCCACCAACTTTTCTTAAAAAAAAAAAAAGGTATGATAGCTCACATCTGGGAGGCATAGGTAGGAGGATTGCAGTCTGGGACAGGTCCTAGACAAAAAAAAAATACAAGACTCTGCTTGACAAACAACTAAAGCAAAAAGGCTAGGAACATGTCTTAGATAACAGTGTCGGCCTAGCAAGTGCAAGGCCTTGAGTTCAAACCCCAGTACCACCAAAACAATAACAACAACAATAATAAAGGCATGAATGTTGTACAAATTATTGATGCAACATGTAATACTTTTGTACACATTGTAAATGTTATGCAATATTTAAATCAGCTCAATATATCTCCTGCTTATCAATTCTTTTTTTTTTTTTTAGTGCCAAGACTTTCCATGAACTTTTTTGCTCAAGGTTAGTGCTCTACCACTTGAGCCACAGCTACACTTCCAATTTTTGGTGGTATATTTTCATGTAGCAGTTTGGTATACACAGTTCATTATTGTACCTTTTTAAAGATAGTATTCAAAGAGATGGACACTGATGGTTTATTCCTATAATCCTAGTGGAGACAGGAAAATCCATGAGATTATTTCCAATTATGCACCAAAAAAGCTAAAGTGGAGCTGTGTGCTCATGTGCTGCAGTGCTGGTCTTGAGCAAAAAGAGTTCAAGGACAGCACCCAGACCCTGAGTTCAAGCCAGAGGATCTGCAAGAAAATAATCACAAGCTGCCTTTTCACCATTATTTCCATTGGATTTTGTTTTTTTGGTGGTGGTGGGGGTGAGGTGGGAGTACTTGCTTTTTGCTCAAGGCTAGCATTCTACCACTTCGAGCCATAGCTCTAATTCCCCCCACCCCTTGCTGTTTAATTGGACATAAGAGTCTCAAGGACTTTCCCTGCCCTGGCTGGCATCCAATCCTGATCCTCAGATCTTAGCCTTCTGAATAGCAAGAATTACTGGCGTGAGCCACAAGCACCTGGCTCAAGATTATTTTTACTTGATACTTTTGCAAAGAAACAAAAAACGCTAAACAGACAAAAAAATTAAAACTAACCAAACAGCAAAGCAATTCTTGTGTTAGAAAACACCAAAATCAGGACTGTTGAGTCATAATTTCTATAATGTAAATGGGAACTTTACTTACATTCTCATGTTTTAACACTGAACATTTCACTCTCACAATAAACAACTTAATTTCTTAAAAATCAGTGTCTAATTATCTCTCTTGTCCTTGATGACTATGTTCAAAGCTATCATAAACTTTCTGGCATTATAATTTCCTTATTTTTAAGAGATTATCTGTCTATCTTATCTAGATATATAGCTCTCTAGCTCTCTATATAGATAGGTAAGTATACATATATATGCATATATATATGTATTTGCTTATCTGGCCAGAATCAGAATATCCTTTATTTTGGGGGGCTACCCCTTTCCATGCCACACTATTCTGTTTTAGTCCTGTGTCTAGGATAAACTGCATTGCCTATAACCTCAGATACCACACTGGGGCAGTCCAATTAGAGAACTCCATCTCATTAGTCCTAGAAGACATTGCTTGTCTTCCTGAATCCATGTGTGCCAGAAGACAGATCCAGAGCTATATTTTAGACTTCTGGGCTAGATAAACTCTCTCTCTCTGTAAAAGTTTTGTTTTAATTGAATGTTTGTTACATACAGTATAAAAATTTTTAAACTTGTTCACTTTTTATTGTGTTCTGTACTTTTATTATTATTATGTAATCTTAGAGTATTTGTCAAAAGTAATATAAAAACACCTTAAACAGTGATAAACAAAATATTTTTTCTATGTTCCTATCATCTTAATTCTAAAGTTTTTGGCATATATATGAAAAGTACATATATTAATTTTATGTAGTCATATAAGTAGACACATACATTAGATAGAACTAAAGAAGTCCACAGAAAGAGAATATACAATGTAAAGTACAACATATCTTCCCTACTGATTACCAGATACTTGGGTTTTTTGTTTTTAGGGTTTTTTTTTGGTAGCTCCTTCAGGGACAAGTCAGTGCATACATAAGCATATAGATGTATTTGTAAATTAATATACCTATCTACAAAAATTGGAAAAGTGAATCTGTACAATGGTAGTTCACTCAAAAGCAGATATTAGGAGGATCAGGGTTGGATGTAAGGCTGAGTAAAAAGATTATGAGTGTCGCCATCTCAACTGATAGTTGAGTGCAGTGCTATGTACTTGTCATCTCAGCTACATGGAGGGATAACATTAGGAGGATCAAGGTTCCAGGTCTTCCTGGACAAAAACAACAACAAAAAAGGTTGTTAGACCCCCATGTCAACAAAAAAGCTGGAATTGGTGGTTCATGCTTGTCAATGCTGCTATGGTAGGAAGTATAAATAGGACATTATCTAGGCTGACACACCCCAAAAATGTTAGTCCTCAACTAAAAAAATAACCACAGCAAAGAGTTGCATGTGTAGCTAAAGACGGAGAGTACTTGCCTATCAGATATGAAGTACTGATCAAACTCCAGTACTGAAGAAAAGGGAAAAAATGATAGCATTTTCCACACGGTTATAAATCTTGATTTATATTTTTAAATAGATTGGCTATGTGTTTTTTTTCAAATAAAACAAGTGTTTATCGAACCCCACTCCCAAATTGTAATTGTAATTCCTTCCATGATAGCACCAAAGTAAAGCACTTCTGTGAATTTGGACTCTTCATTTTCAAGAATATTTCATATTTTCACCATTCAGTTATATCCTTAAAATAGTGTATTTTGTTTACACGGATTTTAAAATTCACACATTGTGGTGTAATTTATAAAAATTTAACCATTTTAAAGATACTTCTGTAAATTTTACTAATATATAAGACATATCTCACAGTCATCATAGCCAAGGTAAACAATATTGTTATTACCCCACATGGTTCCATGTGTACCACTGTTGTCACTACTTTCCTGTTAGCCGTGCCCTTGGCAACCTCTGATGTGGTAGATTCACTTTGTCTAGAATGTTACATACAGGGAATGTAGTCTTTAAATGTGGTTCTGTAACTTAACACATGATTTGGAGACTCATCTATATTATTATGCATCAGGACTTCATTCTTCATTTCGCTTAGTACTAGCACAGTCTGAATATCCATTCATTCACCAGTTGACTGACATTGCTTTTTTAATGTTTTTATTAATTTTTGGCAGTTATTATTTTTACTGATTTTTCCCAAAGATTTCTTTATTGAGATTAAGTAATTACATAAATTTCATAGTACTGTAGCATAGTTATACTTAGTTCAAGTCTCAGACACATTTTGACATTCATGATAAGCATCATCATTCTAATCTACAAAGCTTATGAATAAAGAAAAATGCAAAAACCTCAAGTTTTACATAAGAAAAACGTTTAACTCTATGAAAGTAACAATAAAACTATTTCTTCCATATCGGGTGATATGTACATTTCTTTCATTTTGCTTAGTATCAGCTGTTCTCTTTCTCTCTCATTCCCTCCATCCCCTCACTGCCCTTGAGTTGCTTAGTTCACTTTCATCAATGTCCAGTGCAGCTAATAGGCCCCTCTGCTGTACTTTTTTGCCCACTTTCCACTGATTCTGTGCCTTCCTCCCACTTTCCCTCAGATGTGCACATGTATATATCTTATATGAGGTAAAGAATACAAAGTCATGTAAAAATAAGACAGACTAAGAAGAGGTCCTTTGTTTCCTTATCTTTGGGGTTCTTTTCAGTCTGTATATTATTTTATGTACATATGAAGAGGTGCTTGGATATAACTATTTGGTGCCTTTTTCCTAAGACTGTCCTCTTGTGGTCTCACTGTGTAGGGGTATCTTGAGTACTGTTTACTTGGTTATATCTTCTAGCATTTTAAATCTAACATCTACGTATCAGGGAGACCATGCACCAATTGTCTTATTAAATTGACTAAAAATGTCTATATATAAAGTCACTGTGCAAAGACCCTTAATTCTCTTGAGCAACTACCTATGGAGTAGCATTATTGGGACCTATGGTGAATGTGTTCATATACTTAAAAAAAAAAAAAGCAATCATTGATGGACACTAGTGACTTACAACTGTAATCCTAGCAACTCGGGAAGCTGAGATATGAGGATCATGCTTCAAATTCAGCCCAAGTAGGAAGTCTGTAAGACTTTTATTTCTAATTAATCACCAAAAGTTGAAAGTGGCTCA